CCCTGCGCCCCCGCCCCCGCCCCAAGGGTATTTTTCAGGAAGAGACCGAGAAAGCGGCCTCGAGTGGACTCTATGCAACTCAGTGGTCGGTGTTTAAAGTTTGACATAAATTGGTGAGAACACAACAACACCTAATAATTAGTGTAACAGGTCAGCAAACCAAACTGTCTTCTCAATGAAGGTAAACGGGCTTTATTATTTACTCAGGGAAAAGGGAGGATTGAACATTTTCTTCAACTTAATGTCCTCAAGAAACTCATATCCCGACAAAACTTTCTACACGTGACTTTCACACTCACTTTTGCACCAGGAAACATTTTACCAGCCTTTATCTCCCTATTAATCCCTCTCCCCCTTCACCCTCATCTTTCTCCAGCAGTTTGGGCAACTGGGGAAGATTTTTTTCTGAGGGCAGTTTGCACCTATCCCAGCTAACCGGGCCGGCCTAGAGAGATCAACTCCTGGTAAAGAATAAGAAAGAAAGACATTTTTTAAAAATCTGACAGCAATTTCCAAATACGCTTTCCACTTGAACTTCATAAACCGCCTCCCCTCCCCTCCCCTCCCAGCCAATGGGTGGTTTGGGGTCTGCATGTCCCTCCTGACTATTGCTTCTCCAACCCCCTCCCTACTGCGCAACACACACACACACACACACACACACACACACACACACACACACGCCGGGAGCCCGCCCATGAAACAACTGGATGGGACTGCGTCCCGACACATGGGCAACTACAGCCAAGGCTTCCGCTCAGGGAGCGAGTGCGGAAATGCGCTCGGGTGCCCAAGTGCACCACTCGGTGGGGTCTGTCCTCTTCCAGCGCCGGGTTATGCCAGCATCCTTCTTCCCTCGGCTCCTGTCACCAGTCCCTGGCTCCGCCCTTCTGATCCTGCAGCCAATAGAAACCCCCGACAACTTTCCTCCGCCCCAAACCCTTTCCACACCCCCACTTTCCGGGAGCTGGTTGGCTGCTGCAGCCTTAGCGAAGCTGCTGTATTTGCATGGTGGTCCTGGTTTCTGGTAGGTGGAGCGGCCTATCCCTCGGGTGGCTGGGCCCGCCCACTCCACCTCGGTCTCTACGCTTCCTGCGCAGTTCTCCTTCGCAGCCTCAGCGAGGAAGTGCCGGGGCTGCTCTCAGGAGCAGTTCGCAGGGCAGCGAGGAGGCAGCCCCGGGCAGCGGCCGTACGCACCGTCCGAGCGGCCAGGACACGGGAGCGCAGCGTTCTCCTGCCCCAGAGCGGGCCGTCGCGCCGTAAGAGCCGTCCCCAGGCCAGCAGTTGCCGCCACCCGACTTTCTTTCCAGTTGCGGCTCCTCCCGGGCAACATGTCAAAAGCCGCGGCCGCTACAGCTGCTGCCGCCACCTGGGGAAGAGCAGCAGGAGCAGCAGCGGTGGCCCCGGGCGCACGGGTGCAATAAACCCACCCACCGGGCGTCCGGAGGCCAAGGAA